GGTGCAGACGTGTGATGTTGTTGTTGGTGTGTGTGTGTGTACCAGTCCCAGTAAAGATCGAGGAGGTCACAGAGCTCGAGGCGAGCTATCTCGTCGTGGAACAGCTCCGCCAGCTCTTCAGGCTTCACCAAGCTGCGAGCCGGGTACATGTTCTGGTGGTGCCACGCATGTGAGCACTCCAACGCCACGTGTGGTGGAGTGTGTTGCTTGCGTACCGCTTCGTCCTCCTGATCTTCCGTCCATTCCTGATCGGCACGGTCTGCAGCGAACAGCCACGGCGCGCAGAGCTCCTTGATGTTCTGTGGGCACATACACAGCACACATTCATGAACAGTTGATTAGCAATCGGCCAGCCAGCGAGTCGAGTCGAGTTGTGGGTGAAGTAAAGGGCCACCTTGAACGTCCACTCTTTGTGGCCGAGCTCGCGGAAGAACATGTCGCGCAGCTGGACCCGGCTGATGAGCCGAGTGGCCCCGGCGGTCGGGTGCAGCGCCATCCCGCCCTCCTTCACGAACTGCGAGAAGGAGAGGCCGCACACGCGCGCGTCGTGCGCGAACCGGTGGCGGATCCAGGCCGGCGAGACCTCGAGCCACTCCACCACCCACCGGCCGTACGTCTTCATCCCGCGCATCAGGTCCACCACCACCAGCACCCCGTCATCGGGCATCGTGTGCGCCAGCTCCGGGTCAAAGTCGCGCGCGAGCTTGGCCCGCAGGTAGTCCCGCGTGAGCACCCGCTTGTCCACCATCTGGGTCAGGTGCGCGGCGCCGTAGGCGTGCCACACGGCATCGAACCCGGCGTAGGGCGCGGCGGCCATCTCCTCGAGCAGCTTGGTGGTCATGCCCTCGCGCGTGGCGATGCGCAGCAGGTTGTCAAAGTCGTGCCGGGCCACGGCGGCCAGGAAGCCCGCCCGGCAGAAGTCAGCGTAGTAGACCCGCACTGCTTCGGGGTCGTTGTAGCACCGACGGTGCCACATCTTGGCGCCCAGCGCGATGGCGGCGGCGCCGCCCACGGTCCAGCCCAACGCGGCCACGGGGTTGACGGCGGCCAGGGCGACGATGGTGGAGGAGGAGGAGAGGGCCGAGTTGAAGAGTCCCACGAGCAGCGGCTGGGCGCCGGTGAGGGCGGCGAGACCGCCGGCCGAGCCGACGAAGAGGCCCAGGGCCTGCCACACGCGTTGGCGTTCGTGCCACTGCGGCTGGGCGCCCGACTTGAGGATGTCCTCCACTTCTTCTTCTTCTTCTGAGGCCTCCTCTTCCATCGCGTCACAACGGTCCCGAGGAGGCTGTGGGTTGCGGCGGGGGGCGTGCATGGGTGGAGGTGGGGTGGTCATGGCTGGGTAAAGCGGGGGCGCCGACGGTGCTGTGCCGCTTGTGCTGTCCATCTCGTCGTAGCCCATGTTGTGTGTAACGTTATATCCCGTTTCTTGTCTCGCGGCCCAGTATTTATTGAGCGTTGTCGAGTTCGGGCAGGTCTGTGGCCTGTCGGGGGGTGGTGCCAGTGCTTAGGAGAACTTCTGGGAACAGGTGCAATGTTGAGGCGTCGACAGAAATATGTGCGGTGAATGGAATATCTACTTTTTTACAACTTGGTTACATCTGTACACGTGACCCCTCTTTGGGGTAAACACAGCTTTCAGTCCAGGGGTCGCAGCCATCGGACCTTCGACTTGGCCTTCTGCACCTCCACGCGAGTCAGCCAGAGGTCGTCAATCTGGACCACGGCGTTGTGGTTCGAGAGCTGTCCCCGTCGAGCGGCGCGCACGCTCCTCCACACCTCCGTGCCTCCGTGGCTGCACCATTCGCAGCAGTAGTTCCTGCGCTTGGGGTTTCCTCGTCGGCTGTTCTTCGATCGGCTCATCCTCGTGACTGTGGGTGGAAGCTTTTCTGTTGCAGCTGTGTTTGTTGGGCTGTGGCGCGGCGGACCACCTTTTATGAGGCACGAAATTTCTTGTTCTGCAAAAATTTTACGAAAGCAAAACGCAATGAAAGCCGTTTCGAAAGCCGTTTGTTGCCGAGACGACGGTGGAGAGAGGCCCCACTCAGTTGTGGGGGAGGATGGTGCCGACACAGGGACCGAAGCCCACACGGTAGCCTTCGCCCTGGCAGTAGCCCGAGAGGGTGAGGCTGTCGCCGTCGAGCAGGAACTTGCGCTCCTCGCCGGTCTCCAGGGTGAGCGGCTTCGAGCCTCGCCACGTGATCTCCAGCAGCGAGCCATAGCTGTCGGGCGTCTGGAATGGTACCACGACCATCATGGTGGTTAGGTCTTGTGCGACACACCAGAGACAAGAGATGAGAGCTGGACGTACGGGACCGGAGATGGTGCCGGAGCCGAGCAGATCGCCGGGTCGGAGGTTGCAGCCGGTCACGGTGTGGTGCACCAGCTGCTGCTTCATCGTCCAGTACATGTACTTGAAGTTGGAGCGGCTGATGACCTGCGGAGCCGATGCCTTGGGCGACTTGAGGGCCACCTCGAGCTGGATGTCGTAGCTGTGGCGAAGTGGGGAGCAGAGAAGGTTGGTTGAGTGAGCTGATGGCTACATGTGAGGAGGAGGAGGAGGAGGAGGAGGAGAACTGACCCGGCCTTGGAGTTCTCGTCCTGGAGGTAAGGAAGAGGCTTGGGCTCATCCTGCTTGGGGCTCTGCACGCGGAAGGGCTCAAGAGCTTCCAGGGTAACCACCCACGGCGAGATGGTGCTGATGAAGTTCTAGAGTCCAGGAGGAGGAAGAAGCGAGCATGTTAGTAGCGCGAGCAGCTATAAAGAGACAGTGTGCGTGTAGCGCGTTGGTACCTTGGCGGTGAAGGGACCCAGGGGCACATACTCCCAGGCCTGGATGTCGCGGGCTGTATGGCAATACCGCGAGTGAGCTCAAATGGCCATCGACCCATGGAAGGGCAAGTGTACGCACCACTCCAGTCGTTGAGGAGAACGACGCCGAACATGTGGTTCTCAGCATCGTCGATGGGGACACGGTCACCGAGGGCGTTACCGGGACCAACGAACAGGCCCTGCAAAGGCGTCGATTCGTTTAGTTGCGTGGCCAGGTGTGCATGCTCTCCAAGGGCACGAAAGAGTCGCGATGATGTGGAAGAACTGAGTACCATCTCGAGCTCAAAGTCGAGCAGACGGCAGGGGGTGAAGCTGGGAGCGGCGTCATCGGGTCCCTTGGTCTGACCCAGCGGACGGCGGACGGGAGTTCCCGAGGGCATGATCGACGACGACCTGCCGTGGTAGCCCACAGGCAAGTGCAGCCTACACAGTGTACCCCAACAAACGAGAGCAGCAGGGCGGCACGGTCAGGAAACGAACGTGAGGTGAAGAAGAGCAGGGAGCAAGGTTACCAGTTGGGCTGAAGGGCGTTGTCCTTGCCGCGGAACATGATGCCCACGTTGGTGGCGTGCTCCCTGGACGAGTAGAAGTCGGTGTAGTCGCCGATGTTGGCCGGCAGGAGCATCGTCACGTCGCTTTGCGCGACCAGGGCCGCCGCACGGAGATCGGCGTCGTCCCGCAGACGGGCCTCGTCCGCAGAGAGCAGGCGAGCGATGGTCTTGCGTGCCTCGCTCCAGGCCGCCTTGCCGAGTGCCATGAAGCCGTTCAACGTTCCCTGCATTGCCGAGCCATCAATGAGCATTACACGAAATCGAGGATAATTTGTGACGATGTTAGGCCACGTACCTGAGCGAATACGTTGATGGCGTGGTCCTTGATCGCGGGTCCGTCGAAGAGGCCAGCCTGGGCGATGACGGCCAGATCGAGCACCTGATCTCCAATTGCTACACCGATGGTGGGCTTCTTGGTCGCATCACTGTTGCGGTAGAAGACGCCATAGGGCAAATTCTGGATGGGGAAATCAGAATCTTCGGGGTAGCTAATGAATGAACGAGCAGAGGCCTCCATCTTGATCGTGTGCGTCAATCAACAAAGAACTGGTGGGTATTATCCCGCAATAACGCCCCCAATGCCACGTCAGCCTGACGAGACGTCGGGAGCCGCAGGCAGAGCTCAGTCAATTTCGCTCTTCGGTACGGCTGAGAGGTTGTAGGGGTGAAGGTGGCCACAGGCCAGCGAGCAGAAGCGGCCCCGGACAAGGACTTGTGTGGCGGCTGCGGATTCACCGTACCTGCTGCCCGCTCCCACGGCGCACTTCTCCACTATCTCACTCACGCCCTGTAGACACGACGAGGAAGGAGTATGAGGAGTGGTGGAGAGGTGGTGTGACGGTGTGCGAGGAGGAGGTTGCCCAGACCTTGCCCACAAACGTTCTGGTGCAGCCGATGCAGCGGTCGACGTTGCGCCATAGATAGGTCGTGATCTGCTCCGGCAGTCCCCACTCGTCGATGCTCTCCTTCTCCGTTCGATGGAGATACGTGAGGCACTGGTCAAAGAGCGACACCACCGCCGCCGGACCCTCCTCGCACTAGAAAGGAGTCAAAACTAAAACCCTTAGCGCCAAACAACAATGCAAGCTGCACACACACACACACCACACACACACACACACGAACACATACGAACACACGAACACAGGAAACGCACCCGAAGGATGTGGTAGTTGCTGTCGGTCCACTTGATGCTTCGGTGGAGCTCGTCAAACTGGCAGCCGGAAAGCTTGACAGAGATGAGCCGCCGATGGTGCAGGCTGTAGGGCACGCAGCGCAGAGGGTTGTGATCGAGGTTGAGCACGCTCAAGGCGGGAAGGCTCTCCTCGGCGACGAACAGCGTCGGCGGGATGTGGGCCACCTGGTTGTGGCTGAGGTCGAGCAGCGCCAAGCGAGGCAGCGCGCTGAGCCAGGGCGAGAGCTGGGTCATCTGGTTGTGGGCCAGGTCCAGGTGCTGGAGACCGACGAGGCCAGCCAGCTCGTCGGCCAGCCTGTCGAGCTGGTTGTGTGAAGCGCGGAGCCACGTCAGGTTGGTCAGCTTGCCGAGCTCGGGCGGGAGACGCTTGAGCTGGTTGTGATTGACGAAGAGGCCCTGGAGCGCGGCCAGGTTGCCGATCTCGGCCGGCAGCCACTCGAGCTGGTTGTGGTCGAGGTTGAGCATCGTGAGCCGGCGGAAGCGCCCCACCTGGCGCGGCAGCACCGTCAGCCCCTGAGAGTTGCCATAGAGCCGCTCGATTCCCGCGGCGAGCCCCTGGCGGATGGTCCAACCCGGGCTCATGTCCTCCCTGGCCTCGTCCTCCTTGTCGAGCTTCTCCCTCCGCTGTCGCTCGGCCTCTTCTTTTCTCTCGGCCTCCTCTTTCCTTCTTCGCTCTTCCTCTTCCTTCTCTTCTTCTTCTGATCTTCGTGCCACCTTCTTCTCCGCTTCCGCTACGCTGCCTACAGCACCGGTTGACTCCACCTCCTCGTCCATCTTCTCCTTTCCCTTGCCTCCGTCGTCTCCTCCGGTTTCGCTCCGGTGCGGCGGTACGTCAGCCTCACTCACGCCGCGCGCCGCCGCTCGTTCGATCGAGTGCCCGCACATCAGGCACGAGTCGTCCGCTGCCTGATTGATGAAGGTGCACACCGGGCACGGCCAGTCCCTTGCACCCTCGCCACTCTCGGGTATACCCGCATCATCCTGATCGTGCACGGACGTCGCCAAGGTCAGCGCTAAAGTTCAGAGACGCCTTAGCGCATTCAATCATGATGCACCTCTTCTTCTTCCATATCGTCTTCGCCTACGAGGCCCTTTTTCCGCAGATAAGACTCGGCCAAGGCCTCCACGATGGCATCTGCCCAGAGAGCGCGGGTGAGCAGTGAAGATAAAGTGAAGGGTCAACATCAAAAGGATGGGGCGTCGTAGAATAGCATACCCTTCATAGTGTCTACTATCCGCTCCTCGTTTTCGCCCAGCTCCATGTCATGCGCGATGTCAATGCCTAGGTCTTCGCCTGGGTCCTCGCTGTTGACGTTGTCACGATGGCTTGCTTCTGTGTGCATCTCCTCGCGCGCTTCCACCTCCGGCTCTTCTCGGTGGTCCATGGACAAGCTGCCCGCCTCGCCGTTGCGAATGGCGATGAGGTTGAGAAGTGAATCGATGGCCTGGTTGACGTC